TAAAAATTGAATTGGGAAACTTGTTGTGACAAGTTTTAATGGCAGGAAATTCAAATGAATTTCATTAGCTGCAAGAAGTTGATGAAGAAGAAGAAGAAGATGTCGAAGAAGAAGAGATACACGAAAATGCACAAGTTTTTTTTTTTTTTAGATATAGCTTAATAAATTTTAATTAAAGAGATTTGGTTATTCCCAAACGAAATCAAATGCAAAATTTTTTAATTGCAAAACCGATCGAAATCGAAACGAAATTTAAATAATTATGTGGAAATTAAAGAAGAGCGCATGTGTGTGTGTGTGTGTGTGTGTGTGTGTGTGTGTTAAAGATTTTTCTCTTGGGGCTTTTCATGTGGCTTTTGTGTGAGGCATTCGTGCTACCGTTAGAAATGATATGGAAGAAGAGGAGAACAAAATGCCCAACAAACTCATCAACGGCGTCAACGGCAGCGCCGCCGTCGCTTTTGAAAAACATTAATTAAATTAATTAACCAACTCGTGCCAAGAATTTCAAGCAACAACAACAACAACAACAACAGCTACAGCAACATAGAGCAGCTATGCACGCCAAAAATAAAAGAATAAAAAAAAATTGTTTTGCTGCTTGAAAACGCATAATTAATGCGCTCAGCGCCCAGAACCAGATTAAAAGTGCGACTGGGATTGCGTCTGGGGCCCCGTCTTAACCGAAAGCCTATATATATAGTAGATGCCCACCCTAATGGCTATTGTTGTTCCTGCCGTTGATGTTGTTGTTGTTTTTGTTGGCCAGTCAGCTAATCAGTTAGGTAGTCAGGCATATAGACTCGGCGCACTTGAAGAATTTTCGACTCGCACTCGCTGCATATCATAATTCAGCAGTTGCTGCTACTTTGGCCTGCAAGCCAGCGGCTATTCGACTGATTCGGTAGCATAGATAGAGCATTTCAGTTATTTATGAGCCTGCTGCGGCTGCAGTTGTTGTGGAAAGGAAAGAAGCAACGCAACTGGCAGGCAGCAGGCAGCGGGCGGCAGGCGGCAGTTTTCAGGCTTTCCAACTTGAGAAGAAGCCGCATGGAACAGGTGGCATCAGCTGAGATTTTTTGTCAGCCTGAAAAGCTGAAGCGAAACAAAAATAACGTGATTTCGGGCCGTTTTCGTAATGCTGAAAACTGGTTGAAAATGCTTTGGTTCTTTTATTCATCGTATTGATGGAGTTCACATTTTAAGTTCGTTGCCTAAGTCTTTCGATTTAGATATTGCATGCAGTTGGGGCTTTGAGTTGAAGATTTGAAGATTTCAAGTTCGTTGCCTAAGTCGTTCGTTCTTGATGTTGTATGCAGTTAGGTTTTGAGTTTAGAAATTGTAGTCTTCAAGTTCGTTGCCTAAGTCTTTTGATTTTTATATTGCATGCAGTAGGAGTTTTGAGCTTAAGAATTTTAGATGACAAGTTCGTTGCCAAAGTCTTTTGATGTGTATTTTGTATGTAGTTAGGTTTCTGGGCGAAGGATTTGCAGATTTCAAGTTCGTTGCCCAATTCTATCGTTCTATAATTCCTTATTTTGCTTTTTATTGGTTAAATCAAATATTGCATCTTTTCTAATTTCCCTCCTTCTCTTCTAATCTCTCTTGCCGTTTACTCGGAATACATAAACACAAATTTGAGTTTTTGCAATTTTTGTGCAAACTTTAGTTAAGTTTGTTGCCTAAATCTTTTTAACGTTTGCAGTTAACTTTCAACGATGATCGACTTTTGAAGATTCAAAATCAAATCAAAATCAAAATTCTTAACAGATGATATTTCCTTTCATTCTTACTTTTCTCTCTCTCTCTCTCTCTCTCTCTCTCTCTCTCTTTCTTCCTCTTTAAAAATAAACATTAATTAAATTTTCTTTAAATTGCTTGTACTTTTTAAGTTTGTTGTCTAAGTCTTATGCTTTGCTACTCCTTTGGACAGACTGCTGGCTGGGATTTCAAGATGATATTGCGGTGATATTTTGGCACGTTTATATTACGAATGTATATTTAAAGTTCGTTGCCTAAGTCTTTTGTTTTTGAACAGCGTCAGAATTGGCTACTTCTTAATTCCCATCCTCTGTTTCCCTCTTCCTTTTTGTATATTTTTACATTCTCTTCTACCAAATCCTAAGCTATTTTTAAATAAAAAAAAAAAAAAACAGAAAATATAATTAAAACAGAAACCAATATAATATAGAAAATTCAATATTTTCTAACTGTTATTCTCTGACGTACACACACGTGTGTTGGCCCCCTGCGCGGCCATCCTTTTGTTTCACAATAGTCTGACCAACTTTTTGCGCCCAAGTTCAATGTGAAACTGACGACCTGCGGCTCTGAGCGCTTAACACGTGCCACAGACAGGCAACAAATCAATCGGATGCCAAAGCACAAAAGGCAAAAGCGATGCTGCGATAACAAACAATCAAAAGGCAACAACAACAACAACAACAACGAAAATAAAAAGTGTGAATTTGATATAAAGTGGCGCTTAATTGCGAGCGATTAATGTGGCAAGAATTTCAACAAATAACACTGTAAAATGCCCGAAGCATCGGGTGTCAGGCCCCATGTGTCAAATGTCAAATGTCAAAGCAATGGCAAAAGTTTAACGGTGCTTTCAGCAGTTTCGCCGTATCAATCAAAAAATTATCGCCATTACCACCGCCGACGGCTGAAGACGACGAAATCCACGACGACAAGTGGAAGGTCGCATGGAAAAGCAAATAACGAAAAGCTAAAGAAGTTCGGGCTGTTCGACTAGAAGACCCCCTAAGTAATGCCAAGCGGGCGACTACTGTTGAACTTGAGCTGATAAGCATATAGAACACTCTGCAGCATATTTCATAGATTGGGGACTCTGATACCTAAATAGAGCATTAGCAATTTCTTGGAAACAATATTTTTTGTTAAATATTTTATCAGTTCTTTTATAGAAAGCGACCGATCTGGCAGCACTTTTTATGCCAGCTAAATGATTTCGTGGTTCGACTAGTTTCACACTTGGCAAAAAGAGTTGCAAATTATTTACAGCTTCATAGATCAAGTTCTGATAGTTTCTCAGTTCATTGAGGTCGTGGAAATATAATTCAGATGCAAATTTTCTCTACGCACGCTTTATAGCGTCAGCTCCCCTCGCTGCCCCACGCCCGTACAGGGTAGATCGACTCAAGTGCAATAGCCCATCAAAGGCAATAAAGAATATGTGTACAGACATTGATTATGAGTTTGGGGAACCTCAAGTAACTGGCACAATGTGCGCATATTGAATGCGCCGGCGACTTCGATGCCGATGCCACTGCCGATGCCGCTGCCGATACCGATGCCAATGCCAATTCCGATGCCTACAACAATTCTCCATTCCGAGTACGTAGCTCAACGTCTCAACTTGAGCTCTACGAACTAATTTTGATACGCGTCGCGTGACACAATTTTCAAGTGTCCAAGAAGGCAGTTCGATGAGCCAGTCGAGGGGAGGTTGGTGGGGGCTAGGGCGAGGCAGCCCAGGGGCACAGGAAGTGCACAGACTTGGAGCGGCTTTTGACTGAACATTCAAAAAAAAAAGCTCATAATTAATATGGAGAACGTTGACAGTTGTCGTAAATGGTGAACCAACTTCCGATCGACAGCTCAACTCAAATTTGGCAGAACTCCCCACCCCGCACACCACACTCCGCAACACACAGCCCGCCCAAGTGCAATGGACTACTGGGGACGCGTGGGGGGTGGAGCGTTGCAGCAGGTGCCTGACTGCCTGGAAATTATTGATGCGCATGGCAAGTGCCACCTGTGACGGGGCATAACAAACAAATAAACAAAAGAAACAACCACAAACAGAGAGAGAGAGAGAGAGAGAGAGAGAGAGAGAGAGAGGGAGAGGGAAAGAGAGGACGCGGGAGATAGAGAGAAAGAGAGTGAGAGATGGAGTGAGGCAAGCAGAAGCGAGAATATTAACAATAAAAACCGACCTGTCGAATACCTTAACTACTGGAAGAGCTTAAGTACGGCACTTGCCGATTTCATTATATTCGAAAAATCCGTTGAGATGAATTCAGTTTATATTTTATGCTTATACTTCTGCTTCCTCTTATATATTTCGTTATATATATTATATATATTTATTGGGTATATAATAATTCATCTCATAAATCTATCTCTTCTTCTACTCAAGCAGTCTTACAGCTTACAAATTACATAATCATCAGCTGTTAAAGTGACGCTGTTTATGTAAAAGTTACAATTTACATAGGCATATTGTATAACAGCATAATGTTAATTACAGAATGATGTTAATGTACGACAGCACATAAATATCTTCTTGACAATTATTCAGTTTGCCAACCTGCTCTTGAAGTCATGTTGCCCAAACACGCTCTCAAGTCAGTTAACTAAAAATTGAAAGAAAACAAAGAGAGCGAGACAAAAATAAATAAAATGTCGTTGGAAGGAAATCCCATTAATGACAAAATCGATAAATTAATTTGTTTTCATCGTCAAAATGCATAAATAAATGTAAATAAACAAATCACACACACACACACACACACTAAAATGCCGTTAAGTTAAATATTGTCGTGTAGTTTTATTTTTGTTGTGTGTTGTTATTTGGCTGCAGCTGCTGTCAGATTTAGAAATACGTCATTAATTAAGTTCCATTCCAATTCTCAGACGAAATCAATAACTTAATAAATTGCTTAATAAAATGCTCGCACAAACGCAACGGGTGGTGTTCGCTGTGGACTTTGCTTTTAGTCAATGAAGCTCTGTTGACACTCAAATGAAAATCTCCATAAGTTATTCAGCCCAACATCGATGAAGATAATGCAAAAGATATATGGAGATGAACAGAAGATGAAATTATGGTAAATCTCTAGACTGTTTGAACAATTGCGCAAAGTGAACTCAACGAAATAGTTAGCAAACTTCTTTTCCATGCATTTTTGAAAGCAGAATTTAGCTGTAATTCACAAGTGGCTCTAGCATTTCGTTACTCATAGCGAAAGTTGGTTTATTGTGGTCAGCAATTTCAAGGGAGACAGAGAGGGAAAGAGATCAGAGATCGCTTTACTTTATTCGGTGGCCAACTATTTCTTAGTTCTTTTCGCAAGCTGACAGGTACAGCTTGAATTTTACTCTTTGCAAAGACAACTAAAATTTATTTTGAGCTGATTAATATCAGAAAGGGCTTATCGATAATTTTGCTGTGCCTTGGCAACACCAGCATTTTAACAGCTGGGACTTGACATATTCATTAAAGTGACTGGGAAAAATTAATTTCTAGCAAGGAATTAAATTCACCTGTGAAAACTATTCGCGCAATGATTAATTACGATGTGCAAAATGGTCTGAGCAAAGGTGCATCAATCATCCGGCTTTGGCTTTAACCGATGAAGCCACAGTGAAACACTGTTACGACGATTTCAATTGCACTCCAAAGACGGACCGCGAAACGATTCATCATCTACAACAGTTGCCAGCACTTGGTGTGGGAAAAAAAACGTGAGTTTTGAGCATACTCAGAGCATTTGATATTTAAATAACTGCTTTTTTGACAGGCGCCCACCAAAATAGGTTCAAACTGGTCCAAATTTGGCCAAATGCTGTTTGTAATTCGCAATTGGTTCACGCGTGCGCTTGTACAAATGCGTTGCAAGGGATTTGTCGGAGGTCGCTCAGACGAAACACGTGCTGAAACCTTTACGCGCTGGTCATAACGCCATTTGCAGCATTGGCGAGTGTTTTGTTTCGCTCTCAGCGGACAGCTTGCTATCAATTGAGGCAACTGTAAATGGCATTAATGCAGCCAGTTGCGGCAGCAGGCCGGCCGCAATGTGACAAGCGGATTATGCAATCATATGCTCAGATAGATGGTAGAGATTGCATAGATCCATCAATTGGATGATGCTTGCAACCCGGAAAAGTCAATCTGGGAGACTGGGAAAAAGACGACTGCCAGCCGGCAAGAACTTGGGAGGGAGGCAAATGCAAATGCAAATGAAACGGGGGCCAACAATTTGCCACATTGATATTTAAATATGCCGTTGCATTAATCATCAAATTACTCGCACAAACACTCGCAGAGCATTTAAAATTATATTAACAGGGGAGAGGCACGTTCAATGCATAGTCGACGTTGAAATACCCTTGCAGAGCAAAAACGAGTTCAGTTTACAGAGAATAGAATAAAACTTGTTCAACGGATTAACTGACAGATACAAAGCTGGGAAGCTGATTTTGTTGCTGTGTTAATCTTATTCCATGTAAGTACACGCTACGCAGGGATTTTGAGAAATTCCCTCCGACAAGGTGAAAAATAAGTGAAAATTGATTTGATCGGGCTTTTAAAACTTTTGAAAAATCGCTGGATAATGGTGATCAAGAGCATCGAATCGGGCTAAACTGCAAGTGGAACTCACACGGGCTCATGTGTTACATAGTCGCTGACAAATTAAATATATCATCAATGTAGGGTATTTGAATATATTAGAGAACTGCTGCGACTGTTGATTCTGCTGCCGATGGAACTGTTGCTGTTGCTGGTGCAGCTGATGTATTTGCAATACTTGGCCATGTCGTGTCATGTCATGTCGTGTCCGCTCTTGACACTCATTAGCCGGACTCGAAGAGTCCCATTCAAATGCACAAGCAACGTCTCAATGGAGCGTGGACTACATAGAGTCAGAATGAGTCTATTTCTAGCTGCTGACTTAACACACACCCCCCTGCTCCCTCTTGATCGCTGTGCTGAGCTGCTAGCTGATCGTTTAATTGAAATAATTTTCTATAATTAAACAATTAAATCAGTAAATCAGCAAAATCAACGCTTGAGCTCTGAGTAATGGCATTTTGGCATCTCTCAGAGTTGAATCAACATTGAACCAAGTCACGAACAAATGAGTCAAAAGACGTAAACTGCGCATGCAACTCGGTTCAAAGTTCTAGTTGTTCCCTGTCTTTTTAAATTGCGAGATGTCTTGAGGGGGGTTTCGATCCCTAAAACTTTGTGCTCTTTCGGTCGACGCATGGGCCCACAAAAAAATGTCGAATTCCGTGCCTTTCCGATTTTGACAAGATTTATATATTCATATATTCATATCAAAGTTTTCACTGTAAAATCTAGCACAGTAATCCGATTTAGAAAAATTTGGAGATTGTAGTTATTTTCCCAGGCCCAACAAAAACACCTGTACATATATGTGTATATATATATGTTATGTATTGTTTTAGTCCAAATTCATTGTTTGTATCATGTTGGGACTGCGACTGATGCTGAGGCTATTGACGATATTGCTGTTGGGTGAAGCTCTTGCAGAAACGGCAACAACAACAACAACAACAACAACAACAAAAAAGCCAGTTTTCGAGTTGCCGGAACGCTGTAAATATCTAAAGGACACAAAAGAGCTGATGCACCTGAGATGCAAAGGTAATTTCCCGCTGGTGGCATATACCAAATTCCGTGATACCTTTATGAAACAGACCGATCGTATGGCTCTTTTTATGCCCAACTCCATGGACTATGTAATGGTTGCACTCAAAGAATCCGAACTGCATGACTGTGATAGCATTCGGCTGATCGAGGTCAATGAGTATATATGCTACCCAAAGGATGGCGGCAAGCGAACCGTCAAACTGAGATCGGCTCGAATGTATTGCTTTCCATTTCATATACAACTGCCCGATGATCTGATGCATGAGTGCTTGGTCCAGAAGTTTCAAACCTCTGGGTCAACGTTGCAGGCCAGCGTGCTGAGGACCAAGCGCGGCATCATACACTACACGTTCGACAATGATTCAGCTGTTCAATATTTACTGCCCAAACAAATTGCCATATTTTTAACAATATTGATTCTATCAATGCTTCTATATTTCTAAATTGAAAATGCCAGGATTCAAATTCCGATCGGTGAACGACTAGCGATGATTTACCAAGTAACGAAAGCGAAGCAACTAGTAAAAAAAACAGCGAGTAGAGTAACAACAAGAAAGAAGGAAACAAAGCAAAGGCTATAAGCAGCGATTAGTAAGTGGTGTCAGCCAAAGAGATATTGTAGTGATTAATCAGAAGCGAGTAGAATGTTTAAGAGTTAGAATCCGACAGATTATCCAGTGAGTTCTGAGACCAACTAGTCAAAAACAGCAAATAATAGTCAGTGATTTCCAGCTGAGAAGTATGAGAAACAAGAAAAAGGATCGAGTAAGGAACAGCAGGTCAGAAGCAACGAGTAACATGTAAGAAAGCGAACTCAACGGCTTAGCAGAGAGTAAGAAAGATTAACTGATGAGTGGTGATCAACGAGCAAGCAGTAGCAAGGAATAAGAAACACCGAATGAGAAATAATCAGCAAAGAGAAGCACAATCAACGAATTAAAGGCAGCAAGAACGCAGCATTAAACAACATGCAATGTATGACTGGCAACGAAATGTGAGCAATATGTAAGGAGCGGCAAGTAACAAATAGCAAACCAACAACGAGTCGAAATTGAAGAAAACGAAGTGAATTTCAACGAGCTGTGAGCAGCGAGATGATGCAGATGCAGTAACTCTTGGGCAACGAATCAGCAGTAACGAGTTGTAAGCAGCGAGAACGAATACGCAGCAGCGAATCGTTTCCACAAGCCAGTTGCCCTTCAGGAACTGCCATCGTCGATTTGTCTGAAGCGACGATTTACAAATATCGAACTGTCATCGGTTGAGTATTGCCACCAACGTGCTACATTACTCAAACCTAAAATCTCTCTTCGTTAACCAATTAACGGTCGTAAACTTTAATACGCATCTCGCAAAATGAGATCCATTGTGTGGAGTCGGGCCATAGAGATTGATCAGTCAAACCAAAAACCCAAGGAATAAGCATGAACAACAAAAATTTACTTTAAATTTTTCAACCGCTCCAGTCATGCCAGTCTCATGAGATGATGGGAGATGATGTTGTCTTAAATCGAATTTCTTTTTGTTCAGTATTATTTTTATCCATGCTCATCTGCGTGTTCAACTGCAATGTTAAATATTTATTTTATAAACATTAAAATTCATTTCGTAGCCCTCGTTTTAGCCTCCGCGCATACCACCATATCGCCAACAGCTCCGCCCCATGTGAATACAACAGCAGCAACAAAACAAAACAATGCAAAGTTCTGTCTTAATGCTTTTCCAGGGGATGGAAGGGGTTCACCCAGAGAAGTTTCTCACATCACGTTGCATTTTTGGAGCCGGTCACCTGCGTCTGGCGTGCGTATCATTTCCATCTAAAGCTCCATTTTCAATTTCCATACCCCATTCATCCGGTGCGGGCATCGAATGCTTTTCGTTCGATTAGCGGTTCGAGGCAAGGAAAAGCCTTGGCGCGTGCATTGCCCTAAAGGGGCCCTAGGGGTATCAACCAGAGTCACGGGGCGCAATGCGAGGTATTTTAAACTCTATTTGAATGCAAACGTCGAGATGTTGACACATCAGTTTGCCACAATTTGCATGTTGCAAATGCACAAATGCCGTTGCGTGGCCTCGCAAGTGGTTAAAAAACAATTGAAAATCGTCTGCGAATCATTTGGAAGTCTTGATAAGTCGATCGATAATTATTGATCGATATGTTAAATCGGTAACAATATCAATGTGTTTCATCGATAATTATATCGATATGTTTATTGATAATTTGAGCGACATATCTATTTGGTGAAGACTTCCATTTCTATGGCGAAAGTTGCCGTCTTCCGGATGTCTAAAATAGATGCGTGCTTTTTATTATCCAAAAATGTTTGTGCCAGATCATAATTTTTTTAAAGGAATATTTGAATTTATTATTGCAAATATAAAAATATTTATTTATTCATAAATTGAATAAATAATAAATTTACAATTACAGGGTCTTGACATTTTTGGTTGATTTTGTCGACTTGAAGAAAACTATATTTAACAGCATGTTAACAGGAACTTTCACAGAAGCTAAGCTTGATTGCGAATGTGCTGCAGTTGACATTCATTTATTTTGTTCACAGGGCAAATGGCCAATGCACCACTGTGGCTACTGTTGGGCACAGGACGGACAGCACCCACAATTGAGCAAGTTGCAATGTATTTTCTTCTTTTTCTGCTTGTTCTTGTTATTTGCATTCTCAGTTGTCAATTGTTGTTGTTGCTGCTGCTGCTGCTGCTGCTGCTGGAGGCGCATTTCAATTTCAAACGCTTTTCAATTTCAATTTGGCCGCCCGCTGGCGTTTGTCACGTGTACGCCGCAATCGTTTGGGGTGTGTGTGTGTGTGTGAGTGTGTGTGTAGCTATCCGGCGTAACTGGCACAGTTGAGTTCAATCGAATGCCACACAGCAGGTGACGCAGCGGCAATGCCGATCATTTGGCCAGTTGTTGGTCAGGTAATTGCGCAAAAGCCAAATGCAAACGAATTGCCAAGCCATTTGCATAAATTTCACTTGCATGGAAGGCCGCACAGGGAAAACACACGGAGCACACTCCACAACACACACAACACACACACTTAACACTCGGCTTCTCGCATGCGTAATGCTTGCCACTTGCCACATGCCACATGCCACTTGCAGCAGCAGCGGCAGCAACTGGTGGCTGCTGCCTTGTGGTGCTTGGGTTAGTCGTCATAAACATAAACAATGATTAGGCGGCTGCCGCTGTTGCGTTTGATGCCCCATTAAAACGGTTTCCAGGCTGCCAACATCCAGTCCCAGATCCAGTCCCCAGTCCAAGCTCGAGTCCAGGAGCAGCTGTGGCTGATCAAACTAATCCGATCACTGACTGCCAATTGTGTTATCATTTAATTAGTCGGATTAAAACACAAATGCACCACTGCGCAAATGCCATTCAATTACAGCTGTTAACTGCACTAGGCCTGACTCTTCAAACTTTTATTCCAAGTTAAACCAAGTTCAAGCAGAATAATTATTACAATATCTTATCAATTTGCAGACAAGTACAAATTGACTGTCTTGCTTGCCTGGCAAGCACATACCAAATATGCTAGCTGTAGCTCTCAAAGGTCCTTGCAATCAAACATTGCCTAATCTCAACTAGAACTGAAATCCAATCCAACATATTCTCTGGGTGATATACTAAAACAAGGTGATTTGAATTTTGCAGCTATAATTTTGCTTTTAACTTATCTGTTTTATTCAATATCATATCATTTCATATCATATCATATCATATCATATCATATCATATCATCACATATTAGATCTATACCATATACGAAATTTGATACATCTTGCACTTAAACAGTCCGAGTTCCTTGAGGCTGCTTCAATTGGATTTGGCAACTGATTTTATTTGAATTCAAATACGAAGCTCATTATGTTCGATTCTTTTGGAAATTCAAATTCAAGTAGGTGGAAGATATGTGGGGGAGCATGGAGTCAGAGAATATTAATTACGCGTAGTACCTGAACTAAATGTAAAACGTGCTGGAAAGCTGCTATCGGCTCCATCGAAGGCCCAATATCGTAGCGACAGATTATCGAGAGTTGGGTTCATAATTAAAACACTTTTTTTTTTTGTTTTTTTTTTTTTTTTTTTTGGTTTTTTTGTGGGGCCCCTGAGGGGCACTTCTTGGTCGCCGAGGTCGTAGCTGATGAAAAACAAATCATGTCCGAGATCAACTAAAACAATAAGCGCCAATAAGCAGACAAAGCAAATGTGCAGTTAGCTTAACGGTGAAGCGTAAAGAAAAACATAAATAAAATACCTTTAACTAAAAAATAAAAACAAAAACAAAAAAGGCCGACACATATCAAAAAGAAGAAGCAGCAGCAGCAGCAGCAGCAGCAGCAGCAGCAGCAGTCGATTCTGTAAAGCCCCGCAACCCGCGACCCGCTCCGCTGACATATGAACTCTGGGCCGAAAGTTCTTTTGGTCTTTATAAATTTTTATTTTATTTTGAACTTTTTTTCTTCTGCTTCTTCTATAAACTTAAAGTACCGTACGACATTGATAAAGACGCAGACGACAGGTGAATTTCTCTCTCACTCGCGCTCACTCTGGCCCCCTTGCTCTCGCTCTCGCGCTGTCTCTGTCTTTGTTGTTAACAAAATATATTTGTAACAATACAATTTTCGAATATCTGGCGGCTTTTGTTCGGCCTTTATTTTTTTTTTGTTTTTTTTTGTTTTGGGGCGGCAATCTGTTCGTTGACATTTGTCAAGATGAAGAAAACAAAACTGAGCTGAGAAAAAAGCTACCAATTTGAAGCGTCTGAGCAAGTCATCCCCCATTTCCAATCGATTCGTTGGGGTATTACATTTTGCGCTGCGACTTAAAGCTATTTAAAGCGATTTTTGCCAAATATATTTAGAAACATCTTAAGTATTATTGATCATTATGAGGCCCGTCAGCCCGATTATTGTCAACTCTATCATAATCTTCATACATTATTATTTGGGCTTTGTATTGTTTAAACGTTATGCCCGTTCGATTGTTTCCCCATTTTTGTGAATTATATCATCGAAGACACCAAAAAAAAAAAAAAAAACAGCCTGAAAATGAAGGGCAAAGCAGATTACATTTTGAAATTGATTTCATTATTGGCATTTCGCAAAACAAAACACAAAATATGCTTTTGATGGCTATTTTTGGATCTTTGTCTTAGGCCTGAACAACTTTCGTATGCAAATCTCTTTAGCCAATGGAACAGACAGCTCTGCTTCTTGTTCTTTCTCGAAAAACATTCCCAATCATTGTTTCGGTGAGCTGCATAGCAAGTGACTCGAAAAACAGAGTGAACAATAAAGAAGTTTGAAGAGTATTATGATTGTCTGTGCTGACCAAGTAAAGCCTAAGTCGCTTTAAGCAGCTCGAATCGAGCTTCAGGGCTATTCTTCGGCAAAGTGAGAACATTTTATAATCTAGCTAAGCTAGACCCTAAAGTCATTCAGAATAGTGTAAATGCAAACAGCTAGAGGAAGGCATCAAAGCGTCGATATTAGAAATACCAAAGGCTAACAACTGGAAATTTGTAATATACATTTTATAATATTATATGCGAAAAGCATATTTTGTCGATATCTAGTCACATTACCAAAATATCGATAAAAATCGATTTGAAAACAAATATTTTACTTTTGAATATGCCTCCAAAAATAAAAGAATCCATATATTTTTATAGGTAGATAGCCTTGGACTTTGGTATATACAAATTTATGTCTGCCATAAATAATCCCTGTAAATACTGAAGTTAGTTGAGAATCCATATATGGTTACAGATCACATAAAGACGAAGCACAGCTTATGCGTGCATGTGTGCGTGCGCGTGTGTGTGTGTGCGCGTGTACTTGTGCACATGACCTTGACATTGTCTTCAGGGCATCTGCTAGTCGAAAACTTCCAACTGCAACATTCGCATTCAATGCCATTGTCATATGTAGCTCAAGTCTTTCTGCTAGGGTATCCAGAGCGCGGTGCTACCCTGCAATATTTACATTTGAATGTTGTATTTAGTTTTCAGATAGTTGATTTTGTTGTGTTTGATCTGTTGAAATATGGCAATGATGAGCGATTGATTAGCTGATTGGCTTTGTGTGTTGTGTCTTGGTTTTGGCATTCGCATGCCTGCAACATTTTAGACGTGCAGCATGCAACATGCAGCATGCAACACATGGCCTAACAGCCGTCTGTCAATATGTGGCGCGTGGCAGCCGCTGGCTAGCTGATGGTTGACGGCTGCTGCTGCTTCTTCTTCGTCTTATATTTCTTGCTCTTGTTGCAGCTTTTAGCCGGTTGGACTTGACTCAATTCGTCATTTAAATGATGCCGCAGCCATTGGCAGCACTTAGCGCAACATCAGCTCAAATTGCAACAGCAGCAGCTTGCAGCACAAGGAGGCTTCTTGCAGCAGGCGTGGAACGTGCCAAGCCAAATTAATTGCTTCGTTAGATGGGCAGGCAATGTGTGGCAGTAGCTGTGGCAGTGGCAGTGGCCGTGGCCGTGTTGCAGCGCCAGCTGTGGCATTAACTGTGGCAGTGGTTGAACCGCTTTGGCTATTTCTTACACTTCCGCCAAGCGCCGTGTGGGGACTGCCCAACAGCGATTGACAAAT